CACTTGCACCTGCTGATGTGACCTTGGGTCAGTCACAAGCTCTGGCACAGCTGTTCCTGAAAGAGCAGTTTGTGTCAGAGTTCTCTCAGCCCCACCCACCTCACAGGGGTGTCTGTTGTGGGGAGGGGAAGGGAAAGGAGTTTGTAAGCCGCTCTGAGACTCCAAGTGAAGGGCGGGGTATAAATCCAATCTCTTCTCTTCTTCTTCTTCTTCTTAAGGTCTAAGGTACTGGAATAGGATTGAAGCGCCTGAAGCACAGAACACACCAAGTATGATTAAAGGATTTTTATTAGTGTGTGCAAGAATATTTCAAAAGAACATAGCAGTGAGAACTAAAACAAAGAAGCTACATTTAAGAGACTTTACACAGTATATGACATTTATTCAAAGTTACCAGATGTTAACCTTCTGAGATGAAGTCAGACAGCAATCCATGCCTCTCTGTCCAGAGAGCATTTTGCCAGGCAAGAGCCTGGTCCATTCTGAGGTTAGCTCATCGTACCTCCTGATAGATAAGGCTAGCTACGAACAAAAACCAGGAAAACTAACTTTCTAAGGCCTAAGATCTGAGTGGGCTTGGGCCCAATAGCCTAGCCAAAAATCAGACCACTGAAGTTATATTGACATGAGCCTGCTACTAGCAGATGACCCAGAAGGGGGTCACTTTATGGTGGGATGGAAGGTTATTTGGAGTCTAACCCATCCCTCCATGTAGTGTGCATCACAGCACCCACTGAAGAACTGTGGTGAAACAGAGATGCAATGGCTCCATAGTCCTGTACTGGTAAACAAATGGTTTGTCTCTGCACCTGAATTGTTATCCAGAGGTCACAAGATCAGTTTCCCAACCCTTCAGTACCAATGTTACTCCAGCCAGCTTACATCTAAGAAGCTGAATTGCTGCCTTCAGTCTCTAGGAGAATTTAGCTAAATGGCCGGCCTCAGTGAGAGGGGGCGTATTTAGTGAAGTCTACAACCTATGTCTACGAGGATCTTTCCCTTTAAGAGAGCTCTCAATAACTAGTCCATAGGTTTAACCAAAAGGATTGTTTTTATTAAAAGAAGACATTTTAATAAAATGCACCCATACAGAAATAAAACATGTTAAAACATACACATAAGTACCGGAAATATAGAGGTGAGCAGGAATAATAAGAGGCTGTTGGGAGTTATAATTACCTATCCAGATGTGTAGAAGTCCACCGAACAGAGGCTGTGAAGATGGAAGGAGCCCAAATGAATTTGGGGATGCCCTGTCAGCAGGCGCCCAGGACAGACACACAGCAATGGAGACACACAGCAATGGAGCTGTGGCTGCCTAGTTATAGAAAAAATGGGACCTGAGGGCATACTAATGTGACTGCCCTGTGAAACAAAGAATTGATGAGATTACCTAAAAGGTAAAACCATGAGTTTTGGAATGTTGAATAGGGTTCCAGAAAGGAGAGGACTTTTGTTCAGCTAAAGAAGGCAGAGGAAGTGGAAGGTGATAGTGGCAGCCATTTTTGGTGTCTTAAATAAATGGCAGCCTAAAACAACCTGCCTCAGATCTGGTCTTGAGAATGTATTACCCCACACAGCATGACAGTGATGGCTGAGGACATGCTAGTGTTTCCCACAGCAAACATTGGATGCGAGTGCTGCCAAACCCGTGTCTTTAGATGATTATGGGCATCACCTGGAAACCTGGCTTGGGCTGGGTCAGCCCATTATATCAACATGGGTGCCAATCAACCGCAAATTACTGCTCGGTGGAAAACACCAGTGATGTACTCACAGCAATAAGGTCCACTGTGCAAAGCGTGCACCAATCCTCAGTGTTACACCATGTAATGCACAGCCTGCCATTTTAATGTTTTTTGGGGTTTCCCCCCCAGTGTTTGCAGACTGAGAACCCAGCTGTGCCACCTTGAACTCCGTACTAAGTATTTTGAATTTTGGCTTGTTTTTATGGATTAGTTATCTTTAACACCATCTAGACATTAATAACAAATCATAGAATACGGTAAGTAGTGTAAAACCTTAAGTAGTGTGTGAGCTTGTTGCAGTTAGGATAGGGCTTTGACAGGAATATTTGTTCTGACAATAGAGAGATTACAAGCATGTCCCGGCTTTCACCTGTGAAATACTGCCAAGTCTGTCAGAGGTAATCCTGACCTGGATGGCCCAGGCTAGCCTGATCCCATCAGATCTCAGAAGTTAAGCAGGGCTGGTCCTGGTTAGTACTTGTAATGGGAGACCAGACCACCAAGGAAGTCCAGGGTCATGGCGCAGAGGCAGGCAATGGCAAACCACCTCTGAATGTCTCTTGCCTTGAAAAACCTATGAGGGATCACTATAAGTCAGCTGTGACTTTACAGCATTTTACACATGTAAGAGGTGAGTGGCACCCAAGACCATTTCAAATAGCATTACATTCTACTATTCATTGCATTACATTACAATCACTATATTTCAATCTACTATTCCAAATAAATAGTAACAGTAGATTGGAATAGTAATTGTAATGCAGTGAATAGTAGAATGTAATGTAATTTGGAATTGGAATATATTTCTCTGGTCTGGTGACAGAAGAGACATAACACTGCACAGCAAATCACTCCACCTTAAAGAAAGGGGTGGCGTTAGTTACTTCTAAGCATGAGAAGAGACGGTTGGAGTGTAACAACAGGGTCTCAGTTAATTATTCTCAGCATTCCACAATTAAGAAGGGTACATTTACGTATCAGTCTCCAATTCTGATATATCTATTTGCTGCACTGTGTGTTTCCCTGTAATTAAATCCAAACAAATGGTGACCTGTATGGTCCTTGCATCTGTTAAACATCTTCGGCCCCGGTCACACGCGAGGATTTGGGCCGGGAGAGGGACGGAACAGATGCGCGGCAAATGGGCGCGATCCCACAGCAACATCTGGGAAGCGTTGCCTGCCCGTCACGATCCGTCCCTCCCGCCCAAAACCCCGCACCAAAAAAGAACCATCTACCTGGGTGGTTCATCTGGAAAGGCCGCGGCAAGTGCGGCCGTGGGATCGCCGGCGCGTCCTTTTGCCGGTGCATCCCCGGCTCCTGGCCGAACTATGCACGTGTGAGCATGCGCAGTTTGCCAGCCTCCCCCTCCCACCGTCGCTTTCTACCGGCATCTGATCGTGCTGGGGAGCAACGGCGCCGCAGCTCAGGGGATCCGTGGGATCCCGCCGTGGCGTCTCTAGTTTGGTGCGGCTCAGATTAGCCGCACTTCAGCCGTCATTTTTCCTGCAGTGTGGCAGGGACCTTTATTATGTTTTATGCTAATTGCTGCTCACCCTCTACCTATATATATGGACTGGTAGCTTCCGTTTAAATGTATATGAAGAAGTTTGTTTGTGCACAAAAGCTTATACCTTTAATAAAACTTTGTTGGTTTTAAAGGTGCCTCTGGACTCAATTTTTGTTCTGTTGCTTCAGACCAACATGGCTACCCACCCAAAACTACCAGCATGGATGTAGTGGTTAAGAGTGACAGACTCTAATCAGGAGAACCGGGTTCAATTCTGCACTCCTCCAAGTCAAGTAGCACCTCAGAGGCCAACAAGATTTTCAGGGGACAAGTTTTGGAGAAATTTCCCTTGGTCAGATACTCTGAAGCCTTGGCTCTCGAAAGCTTGGTCTCTAAAGAGCTACTGGGCTCAAAACTCAGCTACCCTCTGAAGCCCCTAGATAGACCTTCCTGGCATGTCCTGAAATATCATCTCTTCCCCACTCCTTGTTAGTTTCAGATTTGAGCGTCCAGACTAATGTATGGAGCCTGGACTTCTCCACTTTGGCACACCCACACAAATTACAGCATAAACTTTCATTGACTGGAGCCCATGTCGTCAAATGCACACAGTGGCTGACAATACACACAAGGACACATCCATATACAAATTATCGCTGGCGCCCAGTATCATCTTCAATTCAATTTAAATCGGATTGCCAGTTCCGGGTTGGAAAATTCCTGGAGATTTTTTTGTTTCTGCCTGGGGGAGAGCCTGCGCGGGGGGGGGGGGGCGGGGGGGGGGGGGGGGTGCTATTTAGAGAGGGGAGGGACTTCAGCGGGGTACAATCCAATGGAGTCCACCTTTCAAAGCAGCCATTTTCTCCAGGGGAACAGATTTATATAGCCTAGAGATCAGCAGTAATTCCGGGAGATCTCCAGCCACCATCCGGAAGTTGGTAAACTTACCTTCAAAGCAAAGAACACTTATTCCAGTGTGGGGCGGCACAATTTAAGAGCGGCAGACTCTAATCGTGAGATCCGGGTTTGATTCCCCCCTCCTCTGCATGAAGCTTGCTGGGTGACCTTCGGCCAGTCACAGTTGTCTCCAAACTCTCTCAGGCCCACCTACCCCACAAGGTGTCTGTTGTGGGGAAGAGAGGGCGATTGTAAGCGGCTCCTGTTCCCTCTAAGCTGAGTTAGTGTGAGCTACCTCACAGTTTTTTAGCCTCCGGCTCAGGCCTTTTTGTCTTAGCTCAGGAAGGATGGCTCCAGAGCAAGCTAATTTATGCAGTAGCCAAATCGCTTACTCACAACTTTAGTGCCACCAGCTCACAAAGCAGAATTTTTGCTCACAAGGCTTAGAGGGAGCATTGACTCCTTCAGGTAGAGAAAAGCAGGGTATAAAAACCTGCTGTTCTTCTAAGCGACCGTGAATCGGAGCTATCGTCATCAAATGCAAACAGGAGACTGTAAAAGAAAACTGCAAATAGCACAGGGCCAATAAAAGGCCACGAAATGCCGGAAAAATTAATACAGGCCGGAAAACGCAATTATGTCAAATTCAGATGTAATCAAGAAACGGACAGGCGCCACTCACCACGGCACTGCTGGTTAGTTTGCGTGCGTTTCAATTCACCGACGACACGCCTACCCCAGCTATGCAAGCCGGCCTTGCCGGCGGCGAGAAACCAGGCTTTCCAGCCACCACCGCCGGCACGCCCCGCTCTGCCTCCGCCCCATCTGCCTCTTTGCTCCGCCCGCCTCCATCGCCTCCCTCCTTCGCAGCCTTGCTCGGCCTGGACTCTTGGACCGGATCCTGCCGAGCGAGGACTGGGTATTCCAGCAGCGGGCCACCATGGCGCAAGAAGACGTAGCCAGCGAGACGGCCGAGGCGAGTAGCCCCGGGCTGCTGATGGAGATCGTGAGCTCCCCGCTCAACCTCAGCCTGCTGGGCCTCTGCCTCTTCCTTCTCTACCAGATCGTCCGGGGCGACCGGCCTCGGGCCCAGCGCGACGGCGAGGAAGAGCCTCCTCCGCTGCCCAAGCTCAAGCGCCGCGACTTCACGCTGGCCGAACTGTGCCCCTACGACGGCATCCAGAACCCGCGCATCCTGATGGCCATCAACGGGAAAGTCTTCGACGTGAGCCGCGGCAGGAAGTTCTACGGGCCGGGTGAGAGGCTCCTGCATCGCCTGGGGTGGACGACTGCAAGGAGGGCCGGTGGGGGTGGGGGGGGGGGGTGACGCTGAGAGGCATGCAGCAGCGGCCCTTGGCTTTGCTTTCATTCTCCAGGTCCACGAGATCCCGGGGGTTATGAGGTTAAGGATCCTTTGCGCTAACGTCAAGACTTCCAAGAGTTTGGATCGTTATTTTTTATCCTGCGTCCATTGGTGCGTATGGCGTCGTGCAAGGGCGTGTGTGTTTGCCCCGTGGAGTTTACAGTCTAGAATTTGCTGCAAAGGAGAACAAAACCAGGGCTCGGTGGAGGGCGGGGGATAAACGGAGGAAGGAATATCTAGTAATCTGTGTCAACTCGTCCAGGATTCCCTGCATTATAAGTGAAGCAAGGAGTGGCCTGCCTAAAGACAGAGGGTGCTTGGGTGGCTGAGTTTTGAAGCGGGGTTTTGGCAGCTCCAAGCGCACAGGGCCTGTAACCCCAAATTAATTTCAGTGGGACTTGCTCCAGAGTAAGCATGCATGGGATCAGCTTTAGCCACAGGGCTCTGTAGAGAAATCATCACCACAACTCTGTGCACGTGGTAGTTTGCAGAACCCCCATTTCACCCACAAGAGTTCATTTGACATGGAAAGTTAAACTCATCCACCATTCTTCTGCTGTCCTGATTCTGGGTAGGACAGCGTCTTTAAAAGATGACTTCATTTCTCCCAGTGAATTCACTCTCCATGGAACCTAGTCACTTGGCTAATTAAGATTAGAATTACCATTTTCTGCCCGTAAACAATCCAAATGCAGTCTTCTTCAGTGTTATTCCAATCTAAATGCCTTCAACTTTCCCCAGCATTATGATTTTTTTCCAGTGAGTCTTGCCGTCTCATAATGCAACCAAAGTACAGTGGCCTCAGTTCAGTCGCTTTAACTTCTGGGGAGAGATCAGGCTTGATATGATCTAGAACCCACTTATTTGTCTTTTTGACGCGCCACTCCTCCAACATCACATTTCAAATGAATCCGCTTTCTTCCTTGGACATAGATCCAGATGGGTAGTCATGCTAGTGTGTCTGTAGCAGCAGAAAAGAGCAAGAGTCCAATAGCACCTTAAAGACTAAAAAAAATGTGGCAAAACAAATTAGGAGTTTATTCAAGGTATGAGCTTTCGTGTGCAGGCACATTTTTTTTCACATTTCCATCGTATTTGAAAAAGTGTGCATGCAGACAAAACCTCATACCTTGGACTCCTGGACTCCTAATTTGTTCTACTGCTTCAGACTAACATGGCTGATCACCTGAAAATATGTGGCAGGGTATGAACTTTCACGAGTCACTGCTGTATCTGAAGAAGAGAGCAGCAGCTTTCTTCCTGTCACCTTTCTTCATGCCCAACTTTCACACCCATACATAGTGATGGAGAATACTATAGTGTGAATTATCTTGATCTTGGTCGCCAGCAACACATCCTTACACTTCAAGACAGTTTTGCTTATAACAGCTGCTATTTCTTGCCAGAAGGCCTGGATGTGGACAGTCCCACCAGCAATGCCAATAGTTGCCAGGGTTCCCACAGTGTTTCCAGCATCAAGTGCTTAATTGAGCATTTATATGGTTCAGATGCACTGGGGTCCAATATCACCTGGAAAGTAGTTTTAAAAATTGTAGTCTTATAAGACTTTAGAGTTGTTTGCCAGGGATCTCCAGATGTTTTCCCAGTGTGTGTCTGTTAGGATAAATCCCAGATCCTTTTGCCACTTCTTTTGATAACTCAGTAATTTAGGAGTAGAAGTGAGGGATGCATATTTCAAATTGTTAATGTTCCTTCCACCAATTTTCACTCCACCTTCATCTAAATCTAATCCATCTTTCCTTATGATACGTTCTTCATATAGATTGGACAGATAGGGAGACAAGATACATCCTTGTCTGAATTGTTTCTCCAAAGTCTGTCCTTATAGTCACCTCTGGTCCAGAGTATAGGTTGTGCATCAGAATCAGATGTTGTGGCACACCCATTTCTTTTAAAACCAACCATAGCTTTTCATGACCCACACAATCAAAAACAAGCTGATTTTCTTCTGAAGTCTCTCGTATGCTGTGCAGTTGTTTCTTCAGTCTAATTGCAATACTATGTGGCATTATTCCAGTCTAGATGCAGTCCTGTGCAGTGTTACTCCAGTCTAAACAAATTTGAATGCAATCCTTTGCAGTTCTTACTCCAAACTAAATGCAATCCTGCACAGTAATTACTCTCCGATAAACAATCTAAACGCAACTCTGTGCAGTGCTGCTCCAATCTAACCCCACTGAAACCAAGTAGGTTGGGTGTTTAGCTGGCAGGTTCCTAGGATGCAGCATGGTTTGCCCTGCCCTTTCTACTCCCCATTCCTCACGGCTTTGTACAGAGTGGACAGGCATTGCAGAAATGTATTGCAAAATCTTCTATAAGGTGTAAAGCATGGTTAGCTGATTGCAGAAAAGTGTTGACTGGCTGGTGCTGAAAGGGCCGTAGCGCAGAAGCACCCTTTAATAGAATAGAATCCAGACAGCTGATGCTTTCCTTCACTTTTCATCCGTCCTGGTGGTGTCTATCAAAGTGTAATGGGAGTTTAATTATGCTAAGGGGTAACTAGTAAGCAAATGAGGAAGGTCCCTGCTCTGAGAAGGTTGCAATCTGAATTTGAGTACTTACTGAACCAATCAGCCATTTGGATTTGGAAATTTGCTCTGGGACCTGTCTTTTCTTTCCAAGGGAGGTGGGGCTAAGGCTAGGTGTGAGTCGCAAGTAGAGGGCTTACCAATTTTGTTTGTTCGTTTTTTCCCCTTTAGCACTGTGACATTGGAAAACCTAAAGGATCCATAGCAAAAGTATGATGGCACCCATTTTTATGGGGAATGTAAAATCACACAATTGAGATCATATTCGATTCTATATAGCCTGTTTAGTGTGAGGTGTTTGAAAGGCGTTATTCACGCTCACAATATATGCCAATATTACCATTCCCATATTACAGATGAGACAGGGAAGAGATAGTTTGTGGATTCTATCCAGCTTGTGGATGAGATTTAAATTTGCTGGCTCACAGGTGACTTTTTTTTTTCAAGTTTAGCCTTTAGTTATTAAGATCATAGCTATGGGGTGAAATGGCCTACCTTGGTCTATCCAGTAAAGAAAGCTGCGTCCACTGCATAACAACTGATTCACACAACCATGTTTTCCTGGGATACTCATGGTTTTCTGAATTGTCATAGTGGGCTCTAAAGGCAGTAGGGGGGATCTCTTTCCTGCTTGTAGGGCGTGTGCATTTGCCCTGTGAAAGGGTGGAAGAAAGGATGAGACAGACAATGCTCTAAGCGTGCTGAGGAGAATTAAAAGATGGAACAAATCTTATGATCAGAGTAGGGGAAAGGTGAGATGGAGCTGGCACAGCGAACACTGGGAGACATGTAGACTGGAACGGAGGGAAAGAAGGAGACCCAACCCCCTTCCACCTTGCTTCCCTGTCCAACCAGCTTATCTTGTTTGTAAAGGGGATTAAACCCCAGGCACTGAGAGCGGGAGGGGGTGGCCCAGCCTCTCCTCCTAGCTAGATTGCAAAGGATTGCTTTTTGTATGCAATCTGTGTAGGAGTAGAGAGGTTATATGGTTACACAAGACCCAAATTCTCTGGAGGTTTTCTAAATAATATTTTGGCAAGGTCAAAGATCAGAACAGAGAGATTTGTGTGGAGTAACAGATACACACAGTTGCTTAAGCAAACAGTTTCTCTTGCATAGCTCTCTCATTATGGGTGACTCTCTAGATTTCAGTCCCAATCTTCCTGCAGGAGCTTGGAGCCCAGTAGCACATTATGTGCAAGTTACAGAGGAAATTATGTACAGCTTTACAGAGAGGTGGGGTGGGGAAAGGAAAGAAGGGTGCCCAATTTTCCCCCCTGCCACTGTTCTGTTCCACACACAGGGTACCAGGAGTGTGTGTCGCCAGGAAACATCTGGAACCCGGTTTGTATGGAAGCAGCAGTTTGAGAGTAGAGCACAAAAACAGCAGGAATGGGGAACGCCTCAAGTTCCTGAGATCTTCTGTCTATTAAACCTACCTGTGCGTTATGCTTGTTCTGAGAAAGAGGAATACTATTTATCATCCACTTTGCATTGCTGCCTTTTCCAGGGTTGTCTTACATATCACTTGATAATTCGTTGCAGTGTCCTGATACAGCCCCTCCCCCATTCTTTTCTACATGTCTTCTATTACAGTATTTGAAAATATCTTTGGTAATTCAGATTTATACTCAGGACCCAGTAAATCTTGCAAGAACATCACACAGATGCCGTCTGCAGTTTGTTATCTTTAAATGTAAAAAAGTTTCCAGTCTTCATGATTAAAGAAAAGTGTGTTGGGAGAAGATGTCAAAATGGGGATTGGGCAGGACTTCTGTTTGTTGGCAAAGAAGGTTTCATTGCTACAGGAATTTCATAGTAGGAGGCAGAGTGAGAAGCTAAATAATGTTAATGATTTACTTTACTCTTTTACTGTCTAAAGTCCTTAGAGGAGTCCAGTGATAGGGAGAGACAAACAAATCTGCTGTTTCAGGATTTTCCCTGAAATCTCTGGGTTGGGAGATTTGGGAGGTGGAGCCTGGAGAGGGTGGGATTTGGGGAGGGATCTCAGCAGAGTAGGCCATAGAGTCCACCTTCCAAAGCAGCCATTTTTCTCCAAGGGAACAGATCTTGATAATCTGGAGATCAGTTGTAATAGCAGATATCCAGGTGCCACCTGGAGGTTGGTGACCCTAGGTGACCATAACAAAAATGCCCTTCTAAAGGCTGTTACACATGTAATGATAACCATGGTTTAGGAATAATTCACTTCTTCCCTTTGCTACTTGTATCCAAAGTTCCTTTGTTCTTGTTGGGCTTGGTGCCAGAGTACATTTGAACCTCACTAAACCATGGTAAAGGGTGCTCCTGAACTCCTCTTGTGTTTGAGTTTAGGAGCACTCTTAATCACAGCAAACATCCCATTTATCAGCAAATCCTGTGTGTTGGGGGTTCATGTGTAGACCAGGGCGACAGAGGACTCAGTGGTGTCTGATCCTATGGCCTGCTCCCCATTCCTAAACCAGGACTTTCATAATAACTGCACTAGAAATGACTGTTTCTTCATTTTATATATTCATAAACTATAGTTGGGAATGTGTGGGGCTACTCAAAGAACTTTAACTGTCATCATGCGTGGGATCCTCTTTTCTTAATCCTTCCCCCCCCCACACACACACACATTGTCTCTTAAGCACTATAAACAATGGGGTCTCTTACTTGTAGTGCTCCGGTTCTCATAGACTGGGTTTGGCAGTGTGGGAGCTCCCAGAATGCCATTCTTTCCCATGTGCTGGGGTAACATGAGATGCCTAGGATCATATGGGAAGAGCTTAAGTTGTGGCTTTTCTCACATGACCTCAGGCTTCTTGTGTTTTGTTTTGTTTTCCCTCTGCTGCTTCCACACAGACTGGATCCCAACATGACCTTCAGCTGAGTAAATAATATAGTGTGTGTAGTTGGTGGGCTTTCTGCATATCACCAGTTCCAGTGGCTGTCCCCTACCACTTAATGTTTTTAGCAACTACTGTAAAATTTTAGAACGGGCCAGGTATTTCTATCAAGAAGAAAAACAGGTTTTTATTCCCTGCTTTACCGTAAGGAATCTCGAAGCGGCTTACAATCACATTCCCTTCCTCTCCCACAACAGGCACCTTGTGGGGTAGGTGGGGCTGACAGAGTTCTGAGAGAACTATTACTGGTCCAAGGTCACCCAGCCAGCCTCATGTGGCTGAGTGGGGAATCAAACCCAGTTCTTTATATTGGAGTCTGCTGCTCTTAAACAGAATACCACACTGACTGTCAGTGTAGTTCCTGGCCCATGTCTGGGGGACGGGGACGTCAGTCCTGTTTTCTCTCCTGCCCCCTTTTCCACCTCCTAATACAATGCCTTCTTCCACCTGTTTTCCTCACAGAAGTCATCTTGTGCTAAAATGCCAAGGTTAGAAACCAAGTACAGCAATATTTGGCAGAAATGTGTATGCAGGGTACGGGACGTACAACACTTGAAAAAAAAAAAACCTGTATAAAGAGTTACTCAAGGGACTGTTTTCAAAGCCAAATCAATGGTCTTCTTCCCCAAGCAGGGAATTAAGCACATCATGTGTTCTTGATCTTATCAAGTCCTCAAAGTTAGGAAGATGCTGTTCTAATAGCTAATATTCTTCTCTTAAGATGGCCCTTATGGCATTTTTGCTGGAAGGGACGCATCCAGAGGTCTTGCTACGTTCTGCCTGGATAAAGAAGCACTGAAGGATGGATATGATGACCTTTCTGATCTGGATGCCACGCAAAGAGAGACCTTGAACGACTGGGAACAGCAGTTCACGTGTAAGCATTCCTAATCTTGTGCTGCCTGTGATTTTTTTTCAAATCTACAAAATCACATCCATATAATTATTACACGCTGGGACTTGAACCTGACTCATTCATGTATATTATACACATGCTTGTATTCCAAGCTGTAGTTTGCTTTCAGCAAAGGTAATAAAATGGGATGTTACAAATTTCATGATAACTCTGCTTCAGTTCAAAAGTTCCAAGTTTCTGTTGTGGGTTTTCAACACGTGGGTTGAAATTGCAGTTGTACTTTCCCCCCAACCCTATTAACAGAATTTGCTAGAAATGGATCCATCATGCCTGTTTTTGCATCGGTGGTATTCAGAGACTGATACATAATATAAAAATGGCATTAAAACAAAAAAAATGGGGAATTTGGCAAAGAAAATGGGTAAGATGAAACGTTCTCTCACCGATGCACAATACGAATAGGTACCATTTATTTGGGAGGTCTCTTCTGTGAGTCGCACTAAGATCTTACACAATTATTTGCATAAGAAATGCTACTTGCCTTTTTCTTTGGAGATACACTAACTCCAGATTTTCTTGCAAATTCTGATTTGCATTGATGTTAGTGAAACAATTTTTTTTTTAAACAGGTATTTAGAAAAATAATATCTTTATTTTCCTTTTTTGTCATGTTCAGTTAAATACCACTATGTGGGCAAGCTGTTGAAGGATGGTGAAGAGCCCACGGTCTATTCAGATGAAGAAGAAACAAAAGATCCTGAACAACGCAAGAAAGATTAGTGAACACCTGAAAGAAAAATATGGAGTTTTTGGATTTTTAAAGGACCCTTGGTCACATTCCGGTTCTATTTTACTATTTGAACATCAGCTCTTTTTTAGAAATGGAGAGCACCTCTGTTGATTTGGCTGTAACTAAACACAGTTTAATCTACATTCCCAAGAAACTTTGCCAGACAACGCTGAGCTGCTTAAATCCAAGCTGTGTGGTCCAAATTGGAATTTCAACCAAAAATACCCAAAATTTTGGTAAGAACGTACATTCGCCCAAGCCCCTGCGCTCTGCAATTCCCAGTCATTTGCTGGTAACTTGACAAAAGGGCTCCTACATATGTCCTATTAAGGAGTCACTGCAAAGCTGGATGGCATCCAGACAACAAGCAGATGCTAGGTTTCCCCCCTCACCTCACATGACTTCATAGAGGTGACAGCTTTCCTGAAATATCCTGGATCACAATGAACATTTCTTTACAAGGGAATGTTTGACCAACTGCTGTTCCATCCTCTCCCTACATAAATAATGCTGAAATGAATGCTGTCGGCGACCTTTTCCTTTTGAAATCTGTATGATTAAAGCAGAGTACACATCACTGTAACTATTTTGGAAAAGGGATGGCATGGTTTATTCATAACGTACCAAATGAATATGGGGTTTTAATTTTTAAACTTGCCATTTTTTAATATGGCGATTTACATCCAGGTATAGAATTAGTATAGTCAGCCGTACTGGTTTTAAACTTGTCTGCTTAATGAAGTTAAAATGCCTTCTGACATAGAGAGGCGTGTAAACTGAGCAAAGACTGATAAGCTTCATTTACTTTGAACATACTTGTCACAGATTTATAAGATCTTATAATCAGTGGCTACTAAAGCAGTGAATACATGCAGCCAAATACAGTGTACATACCTATTTGGAAATGTAAAATGTCCACCAAGGTCAAAGGGCATAGGCAGCCATCCAGCTAAAGTCAACCTTCTTAAATGGTCTTTCCCGCTTAAAAGTAATATACACCTGTTGTACCTTCCAAAGGTGGTACACTAAAGCAGAATGCTAAGAGGGGTCTCTTTCTGCTGTTGCTGTTAGTGCTTGGAAGCATCTTGAAACACAAAGCTGAGAAAAGACTTAACAGAAGCAAATGAGTTGAGCCTTGGGGAAACAGACTAGTGGTGCCACAAGACCCCTTCTCTTTCCTATCAGGCAAGCATAGTTACCACCTGGGGATTCAACATGGCGTGTGTGGGATCCAGTTAATGGTTAAGCCCCTGCACCAGAATTTTCTGATTGGCACAGGCTCAGTGTGCACTGGACTTGTAACACGGATGTTAACAAATTCTGCAGCTGGGGGTGGGGTCAGAAAGGAGACATAAACTCTTTCTAGCTGAGAACTAGTTGGGCAACAGAACAAATTGCTACGGTAAGTTGTAGGACCTGCTTGGCTGGTGACTAAATCATCTGGGTAACCACTGATTTTATATACGGTTTAGATCTAGGATAGTGGTGTCCAGACAGCATTGATTTCAATTCTTTAAAGCTCATTCTTCAATTAAGAGAATAATTCAGACAAGCTTTTCTTGTTCTCCATAATTGGATCTTAGCCTGCATAGTGAAACCGCAGAGCATGCTGTGAGAGTTCAGTGCAACAGGTCAGATGGGTATTACCTGTGCACTGTGTACCCTAGAACTCCACTGCAATGTTCAGAGGTTGCTCACATGGCAAATGAGTATAGTCTCTCCCCCATGCTCAAGATAGCAAGTGAGTCTAGGGAATCCTCACAGTGGCGGCAGCTGTATTAAGTGACTTCAGTTACTATGGTAGAGCAATAAGCTTCGTTGTTTTAATGGGTCCTTTTCCTTTCTCTCCCCAGTTTCTTCACATAAAGCAATAATACTGTTCTTGAAATAACAATTTCCATTGCTCAGAAATGACTTTTCTAATGATAACTGCTGACTGGCCCATTCTTAACAGGAGAAACACTTTACAGAATATATATTTTTTTGCCTGTGGGTAACACACTGCGCCTTAGAAGACCAGATTTTGTTGGCTGAAGTGTTATGACCTACCTCTGGAAATTGTAGGCTAATGAAGTCTTTAGTATTGCTGCATTCTTTCTTTAAAAGTCACTTGTAATCCTTGCAAAGTTTTGGATGGCTTTATTTCAAAGCAAGGACAACAGGGTTGTACTTGATTAAAATAAATAAAACAACCTTCCTAGACTATGGGGCCTCTTTGCTTGAGCTAAAAGCAAAATGTGGTATTCTTGCCTTCCTCTGAAGATGTGCAAGTGATGTGTTAATGACAGCGTCTCACTTTTGATCCTTCCACTGACAGCAAAATAAATATTACGAAGCCTCTGCTTATTTCACCCTTCATACATGAAAGGGATGAATCTAACAAGGTTGGAAGTGTGACTTCACAGGTAGGTAGCCTAATGTAAGCAATATAAATAAGACTGAGGGTACAGAAAGATCACTAAAATAATCTATGTATCTGTCTGCTACTGAAGGGACAATACTTGAGAAAAGGAGGCACTCCTGTTACGTTTACCAGTGCTCTGTTGTCCTAACTCAAGAGTCATACCCCTTTGCAGCTAAGGGATTGGTGAAATTAAGAAAAGAGGCTACTAGTTGGTCCTAGCATTAGGCAAATGGAAATGGACTACTCTAGGGGCCTGCAGCCACACTGAACACTAGCCCAATATACTCTTCACTAGCTCAGGCATCTTACTGGACCAGGGGAAGACTTTCTGACTGGTCTGAAGTCTGTGGCACCCAGGGATGGAACCAGAAAGGAAAGACTAATTGAAGTATCCACAGGAACATTTCTATTGCACCTGCTTTCTCCCCAAGACAACTTCCCCATTAGTTTTGTGCTGAATCCTCGGCATTTCACTCTGAATACCTCTGGAGTAGCAAACAAATTCTATTATGCCCTGTTTATACTTTTTAGTCTTTTTCCATTATCAAAAAGCTGCCATAGCTATGGAAATTTGGACAATTACCCCCCAAGCCGTTTAGATGCTACAGTAGCTTCAAGACCATCAAGTCTGCTTATGAGTACTTTAGGGACTTGCCCAGTATGCAGAAAATATTTTGTGGATGTATTTTATGAAGAGGATAAAAAACACTACAAAAGATGCAATAAAAACTAAGCCTTTTCATTGCCCTTCAAAAGCCATGGAATATTTAACCAGTTGGAAAGAGGGACAGGAGGTGAAAATGACCTGAGTCCCAGTTAGAAACTGGAATGCACACACATCCCCTAACTGGGTCCAAGATGCTGTAATCTTACATTGATTCATACCCCTCTGTAGCTAAAGGGATAAGGTAGAGTATAAACTCAGGGAAATCTAGTCTTTAATTCATCATTCCTCCACAAAGATTATTTCATCTGTAAAGGTGGCAGACCCCAGCCACATTTTAGAAAGGTGCAGGGAGAAGAGGGTTGAAAAGCACAAAATAAATAAAGCAACTTCTGGCTCTGGCTCTTTTCTCTGTACATAGTACTGCTCAAATTCGAGGTTCAGTGACCTTGTTTTTGAAGCTAGGACAAAAGGTTTGTACTTGATTTCAGGGTTTTTTTTTTAAAAAAAATCTTTGTTTAGTCCTTTATTAGTGCAACGTAGAAACTACTATATTACATTTTATTCTGCTCTTTCTCCAAGGAGATTAGAGCAGTCCAACTCTTCACAACAGCCCTGTGAGGTAAGCAAGACTGACTGGCCCACATTGACCTACTGAGCTTTGTAGCAAGTAGTGATTAGATCAAAGTTGCCCTAGTTCTAGTCTAGAACACTTACCACACTGACACCCTATATTGCTAGTCAAGATCAGAGCAAAAAACTACTCAATTCTGAGCTCTGGAGCTCGATCTCATGCTGTTGAGAGGGATTTCTCACGTGTTTATCTCCAGTCCCATTCTTCCATAGTTCCCCAACTTGCACAGCTCTATAGTAATGTTGTTCTTCATTGTTTTCCTAATGGAAATAGTCCTGTGCTTGGTACGGAAACTGCTTGGTTGTGCCTCAAACTCCTGTGGCCAATAAGCTTCTGTGTTCCCCTAACAATCCAGTGCAACTTCACTTCGTTGCAAACCATTCAGAAGATAAATGAAACCTTCAGGAACGTAGCTCCACCCCTACATCAGTTATCTGTAACCATCTATTACCTAACCAGTCACTACAGGAATGTGGATTTTAGCACATTTATGTAAGCAGTTGCAAACTAAAGGGCTGAACAATCCCCACACAGCAGCTAGTGAGTAAACAAGGGATTCTTGCATTTTAGTAAAAGACCTTTGAAAAACTATCCTGTCAAGCTACACAGCAAGTTATTTCAGAAAGCTATGCAAGCTCTGTCTGTGCACAGTTTAGAGCTTAGTTTGAAGGTGTAGCCACTCCAAGGAATTAGTTTCAAAGCCAGAGCTTGTTTTCAGAACATGCAAGAGATCAGAGAGTATTTCTGAATATATACAGAATGAACTTTTCACCATGACACAGCAAACCCTACACATCTGGGAATGGCTTTGTAATCAAAGACATGTGGCCTCAAGGGACAACTAGGCTCAGACATCTTTTTGTTGAGAGTCAACCATCTGGCAGACTGCTTGAGGCAGCGTTCTCTCTCCCCACCCCTTATGCCAGACCCCAGCCTGTATTTAAACCGAACCAGGCATTTCAGGCCAAGGACCAAGCATAAAATTAACACCAGCATCTGCTTCAGTCAGACATTCCCATCTGACCTTCAGCTGCTAGTCTCAGCTAGGGAGGTAGACCATCATGGTAAAGTCTTAGTTCCTGGGTGGACACAAGATGGCAGAACGCAGGAGTCTAAGCCATATGAAGCCTAGGTAAGAATTCAGCAGAATCCAAAACTGTGTAATGTGATTGGGTATCACACTTGATGATGAATTTACGTCATCCCATCTTGCAGATGTTCCCCAATCTTAACTTAGTTCTCAATGGCAAGAAAATTAAGACAAGCTTAATTCCAAAAGTATTAACCAGGAGGGTATTACTTGTCAGTTTAATACATCATAAATTAACATTTAAACAATTTTACATAAAATAAATACATTTTATTTTTTTTCATAATTAAGTCACATTTTTTTCTGAGCAGTACAAGTTGAATCAGAAACATGTCTACAAACTTGGCTTTTCAAAATTGAGAAAGCTTACTAGAAACATCCATAGTTGTTTTCACAAATCTATTCATGTGAATTTGACCAATTTGTTTTATTTTAAACTTACGCTGCCAGTCCTTATGCATAAGTTGTTCAAAAACAGAAAGCCTGGGGAAAAGATCAAGACATTTAATGAGAGAAATTCATATTCCTAAATCACTGGGGTTTTCCCCAAATAAATTGTCAGCTCTTATCTATTTACTTTACCCCTGCCTTGGACCTTGGGAAAGAAGAGGCTCATTTGTGTGCTCTCTACACCGCTCCTCAGAGGAGAAGCGAGGAAATTAAGTAGGGAAATTTCATGTCTGTAAATATGAGATCTTCCTGTTTCATTATTCCATTAGTGAAGGGGGTGAGGGAGAAATGAATGGGCCCTAGTCCCACTCCCTTTTCCTTCTCATGTACCATCAAGGGCCAGTGAATCAATGGGTTCTTTTTTTAATTAATCGGATACTGACAGGCACGACAAATTTATCATAAGCATCTCTTTAAGAGGCAACAAATAGCTTTTGTATGCTTGCAACATTAATAATATCTGAGTGAGGTGTAGAAAATTCATTCCATTCCATTGTCAGGTTTTTATTTAAAGAGGAAAAACTCAGTTCCAAACAAAGTGTGTTGCATTTCCATAGATTTAGTATGGTTCTGGTTTTTTCCAAGGCTTGGGGTTTACTTGAAGTGCATTCCCCTCCCACTTGGGTCCCTTCACACTAGGAGAAAAAAAACCATCATTCCCATATTTACCTTGTGATGCAGAACATGGGTTGCAGCATTACACTGATGCCATGAACTGCTATAAACAAACCCCATTAGGTCTGAATCCATATTCCAGAGGGTCAAAGTTCGCATGCTTTTCATAGAGTAGGGCTATAGCATTTTCCCAGCACTGCATTTCTTGTTTACTGCTATGAAATGAATGCAAGGCTCTCCACGGTTCCTTTAAGTATGAACATTTTGAGGAGATACATATATGCACACATGCACAAACTGGTTTAAAAAAAATACAAGAAGGCCCACAGGAAAGGGATTTTTGTTCCTGTGAACACTGAACGTTGGTGACATATATTGCTGGAGCTGTGGAATGGGTTTTCCTATAAAACACATCTAAGCAAACTTTTAAAAATTCCAGAACAAATAGCAACCAAGTGCAAAAAAAGGAGTGTTATTTTCAGATCAAAACACTTTGCTTGCTACATTGGGAAAAAGCATTCACAGGAGTGGGCTTGGAGACGCTTGGAAATGTTCGCCACTAACCAACTTTTAACATTAAACACAGAGACTGCCTGCATACCGTAGTTCATTACTACTTTATTAGAGCAGAAGTTAACAAACATGGATGGTATGCTAGGGAATGTGTATTGTGAAAGTTACTGTGACATGTAATAAATAAAGCATGTTAAAATGAAAGCAGACACCATACAGTTTTTAAAATTTAACTAAAATATGTTGACGTTCCCCTCTCCATATGGAATAGTATTCCACAGCACTGTTGGCCATTTGGTAAGATAATGAATAGCATTGCTTGTGGGTTTCAGTACTACCTACTGCTGAGTAGTCCTACTGTAGTCAGGTTATTTGCAAATTATAGCCATGGATTGTATCAGCATCATCATACCTCTTTCCAGGTTTTCATACAAATGTTAAACAATAACTGAATAAGAAATTCTGTAGCTCAGACAATCTAGTTATAATTCAGAAGGTCACTTACTTGAAGGTTAAAATACCAACCAGCACTAAAGAAGATTTCAACCCCCCTCCTGGTGTTCAAAGGTTTGTTCAGACCATTCCCCATTCAGCATTCCAGAACTATTAAACCCAACAGAAGCAGAGCAAAATGTCACTAGCCTGTCAAGATCTGGAGTTCCTCCAATTTTTTCAAGCTAATTGGAGGAGGAGTAATCCATTCTATGACATTTGTGAACCAATTAAGCATGGAAATCTTTTGGCAAACTGGCATGGCTCTCACTGGTTTTCAACAAACAGAACATATACCAACTGTGATTGCAGACAAGCTCTATTAAGTTGCAGCAAAAAAAACCCATCTGGACAATGACTTAGCTCTACACCAAGGGGCAACAGACTTAGGTGGAGTAACAGGGGAGCACAGCCTTGGAACCATGGTAACTATTTGGGCCTAGTCATACACTGTATTCATAAAACCCCAGTGGAGGCTGGCAATAACAGAGCTGCACCAACAAACAACATCTTGCGAAAGTCATATACTACCCAACCCAACGTGTGTCTCAAATGGCAAAGTGTGCAGTTAGTTATAAATATGTTCCTTTTCTGTCTTGGCCACTATGTGTTTTTTTCTCTTGCACCATCAGCCCCTTCCTCTTGCTAAGGCAGAACTTCCTTGAATCTTTTAAGTTAAAGTTTACTCAACTGGCATACAATTAGCTTATGCAAAACTCCTCTAACTGTACAGTGAAAACAGAGCAGAACCCACAGATTCCACGTTTTTTCATAAACTCAGCGGGGACTGTTCATTTTGCTCAGTCCAAACCTCTAGAAAATTCTTCAAAATGGCTTACATCATGCACTTCAGTAACATGTTTTTGGTCCTTCGTTGTAGCCATCAAAATCACGGAGACTGATTTTGCCACCTATTTTACCAAGCAGGTTGTTAAAGCTATCCTAGCTTTCCCAGCATGCAAACAAAGGGGCCCAAGCAAACACCTCTATCACTGTATGTCTAGCTTTACAGTTAAGTTTTCAAAAAGTTGTATAAAAAGGACCCATCTTGATCTTCCACGTTCAACAGTTTCAAGATCCCCACTGTCCTCCAAAACTGGTGAAATTAGCATCTTCTTCCAAGTTCTGCTCCACGGAAAGAGTCAGGGTATTGATTTGTCTGAACTATTTCAACAGGAAACAAAGGCCATTCATCAGAATCTGTTTCAGC